CAAGTATTTTTCGCCAAAACTGGTCCCTAGTCGGTTTGATTGTAATTATCTACCCTAGCCCTCTTCCTAATACTTCGTAAATACTCCTGTAAAAATAGTAGTTGTCTCTCTAAATAAGAGAACGTTACATTATAGGGGGGCTTTGCCCCAATAAGGTAAAAAGAACTAATGATATTGTAAAATTACTCTAAAAGCTTTTTGGAGTAATTTTACAATTCCACTAGTTCTAAAATTAGTCTAGAATTTTAGAATCCACCCTACCATCATCCAGCATACCAACATTTTTACTATTATTCACTATCACAGTTTCTAGACATATCATAGTTTTTACCGCTTGCACTTATGTTCAGTATGAGTCACTTCATGAGCCGTTGGGGGGAGCACTACGATATAGACGCCACGTACGAGGAGTGCGGGTATCATGATGGCAGCGTCCCCGGGCTTCATAGGCACGCCGACAGGTCACTCCGACGGCTCCACAAGCTTCCCGCCCTCTCAGGAGGCTAATCACAGCTCAAATGAGGCAGCAGGCGACGAATTCGGCTCCTTCGCAGCGGCAGAGCGTCTTTCGGACCCATTTGGCGACGTGTATGGTGCCGAGGCGGACTTCGGGGATTTCATGGGTCAAGAACAGAGTGATGTTCCCTCTGCAGGTGGCGACAGCTCCTCGTTGATGTCGTTCTCGCCTGTAACAGCCCCAGCGTCGTCCACAGCACCACCGAAGCTGTTGCCATCTATCAGCGGCGAGGTCGACCCATTTGCGGACATTACAGGGGGCCTGGGGGCTGCAACAGATTCTCCAGAGGTTGCAGCGCCTAAGCCGGGGACTGTGGAGAAGTTCCAGAGTCACACGTCCACTACAACCGGCACTATAGCTCCGACATCTACATCGTCGGCAACATCAGCGATCTTGGACTTGGTATGGGGCAACTCGACGCAGGACACAGAGACCAACCCACTGTCAATGTCGTCGACGTCCGTGGGTAGTGCATCGGGCAATATTAGCAGGACAGCATCGTCTCCGAGCGGGTTTGCGCTGCCTCCACCGCCTTCGACGAAGTTCGCAACGTTCCCATCAACTTCTGCTGCTGCTACTCCAGAGGCTTCAGTAGGAGACTTGCTGTCGTTCTCTCCGGTTCAGGCACCAGCCTCAAGCGACCCGTTCTTTGGTATCAGCAACGAGACAAGTGAGACTAACGCGGCGTTCGGCAATGATGAGCTCTTCACGTTGACAGCGACGCCGCCACACTCGACGACGTCTTCATCGGCTCCGACGTCGTTACGTGGGTCGTTCGCTTCGATGCACGAGGAGTTGAAACCTCCCGTGCTTTCTCCTTCTACTCCTGAGTCTACGGCATCACCGCTTGACCCGTTTTCTGAGCGTACAACGCGATCTTTCGGCTCGTTGAATTCTTCTTTCGTGAAGGTTGGGACGATGGAAAACGCCGCTCAAAAGCACGCGTCGTTTGGTGGATTTATATCTGCTAAACCTGAGGCGGGGGCTACTTCCAGTGTGGCTCCGTCGCCTTCGTCTGCTCCTCCTTCGTTGCGCAGCTCATTCATGATGACTGAAGAGTTCGTGGGGTTTGCGTCTGCTGCTGAAGAGTCTGATGAGGTGGATCCGTTTGCAGAAGCAGGACTAGCCGCACCCGTGGAGGTGCCTTTGGCGGAGGCTCTGGCTGCATGGAATACGTCGGCTGATCCAGCCGTAGATACAGAGGAGGGGGAAAGCAGTCATGATGGCAAGTGTGAAGAAGAGGTGGTTGCTGAAAACAAGAACGAAGAAATCCAGAGTCCCTTAACGGATGGTACTGTAGTCACTATTGAGCAACGAAGCGATAGCCCAGATATCATCGACCAAACAAAGGCAGAAGTATCCAAGGAAGAATCCCACGATGATTGGCAAGAACCGGGTACTTCAGATCACAGTGACGATGTCGTGACCGATGATGTATTCGCACAAGAGGAGCTGGCTGCGCCCGCTATTGATTCACTGGCTGCGGTTGCTGAGTCTGAGAGTCCATCTTTTATGGCATTTACCGAGGCAATTGAGGGGATTGCTGCCACAAAGAGTGAGGATTCCCCTATAGCTGATACAAACGATGACGAAGTCCATGCTGGTGTCCCAATATCGCCTACTGATGAAGTCGTCTGGTCAGCTGCGGAGCAGTCTACGATAGAAGAAAAAGCCGATCATTCCGAAACGAAGCCGTCCGACCCGTTTACATTCTCCACACCAACAACAATCGAAAGTCTCGAAAGCGCTGGCTTTGGATCGGGCAGTGGTGTATCAGACGAGTCATCATCTCGCCACGATTCGCTTAGTGCGTCACCATCTGTATCTGATACTGCACCTGCTGGCTCCGATAACTTCGACGAGGGTGCTGCGGTTGAAACGCTCACGGAAGAAACCCAAGATAAGGCAAGTGATGATGAAGAAGGTGATGATTTTGGCGGCTTTGGAGGAATTGAAGCAGCCGCACCTACGACAAGCGCTACTATTATCCCAGACGCGTCCCCATGGGGCTCTTTTCCATCGCCAACTCCAGTACAGAACATGCTGCTTGAGGACGAGGACGAATCGTTTGGAGACTTTGCTGGAAAATCTACTCCTGTTTCTGGTGCTGACGACTTTGCAGATTTTGCACAGAGCACAGAGCTTAATGATGACGACGAGTTTGGCGACTTCGGTGACTTTACACAGAGCTCTGACGACAAAGCTTTTGGCGAGAACGACGATGGTTTTGGCGACTTCGCCCCAGCTGTGGCCCCGACTTCTGTGGAAGCAACTCCCTCGGTCATGTCAGTTCCGTCGTTTACGAAGACAGACTTGTCGTCTTTCTTTAAAGAGGCATTCGCAACAGAACCTATACCGACCAGCTCGGTGGAGGAACCCGATAGTCCAACTGAAGTGAACGACGCAGATGCTGCTCAAGACTCTTCAACAGAATTTATTCAATACGTGTTTCGCAGCATGTGGGACGAGTATATCTCCATCGTGGCTGCTACCGGTCGTCAGTCTTCATTGTCTGCTCCAGAACCGAACGATAGCGGGGAGCGTGTGCGTCTGTGCACGAAGACTACGCGTGCATCCAAGTATTTAAAGTATGTGCTGTCCGAGAAGATCCAAGAGGCTGCTCGACAGAACGGCATCTTCTCGCATGGCTCTGAAAAGCACCAAACGTATATCGGGTATGCTGCCTCCGGTGATGCTGATTGCATGCGGTCTGCTCTCAAGGAATTGCAAGACGCACTGTTCCACAGCTCGGTGAACGATGCCATGATGCGGATAGCCAAGCAGGCTGCGCTGTCTGCCAAAGCCAAAATTGCCGAGCAAGCTGCTCAGCAGCAGGCCAGTTCGCGTGGTGGGTCCTTATTTTCCACGACGCGGCACCTTCTATCACGTGGAGGTGCAACAGCAGCGCATGGTCCGAGCAGCAACGACAGTAAAGGTGACCACGCAGGCGCAGACACTCCTACCGGTGCCTCGGTTCAGAAGCTCGCTCGATTCTCGTTCACTAACAGCAATGATGACGCTGCAAATCGTGGTACTGGAGAGGAGAGAGGGTCGGAAGGAAGTGATCACACCGGACACAGCAGTGGAAGCGACTCTGAAGCACCAGACAGTCGGACCCGGAGCCAAACTCTTTCAAGTAGCAGTAGTAATGGCGGACTGATGAAGAAATTCCTTTCATTCGGAAGCTCAAGGCACCGACCGCGATTTGTGAATCTCCGACGAAAGGGCCAATCTGGTGAGGAAGTGCGGAAGATGGAGCTGAATTTGGATTCCATCAGTGGAGGCTTGGACGAAGTCAAGTGGAAATGTGCCATGTTCCTTTACGACGTGGAAGAGGTGGCGCATGTGGCGCCTTCGCAGATTAGCATCTTGTCGTATCCAAGCAAGCAGCCGCTGACAGGTAAGACCGACCGGAGTGCGTTGACGAAGCTGGTGAAAGCGGACACAATTTGGACAGTAGATATTGGCGCCAATCACAGCGATATGCTAAACGAGTGGTGAGGCACGAAGTGAAATTGAAAACTGCGAGCTAAAAAGTGACAAAATGCACAAAAAGGATTCCAATGTTACTACCTCATTCTGCCAAGAAATTTCAACGAGTTGCTCCAGTTGCACGCCAATAGCAGCAACCAATTCGCTAAAATAACTTGCGTTTCATCCGAGTCCAGCACGACCTATAGTACATTTAAAAGTGCCATGAGAACATGTAGCATCATGACAGCGACTATTTTCGATGCGTGCTTGAGATGATGCTCACCTTCCCAGTTGAGCCAACTAAATGGAAGCCATGCACGCTATATCACTCTTCAAACCGCTGGAGAACAAGGTTTCAGGAACAGTAGGTCGCAATGGATGAGGATGCCCGAGATGCTGGTCTTGAGACGGCAGTGAATGAACATTCGATCCAAGTCGAACTCTCGCCGAGGAGTAAACCTGCATCCATTTTTCACAGATTTGGTGCAGTGTCGGATGCGTATGAAAACACCATGTTCGAGAACGACTTGGTCATGCTTTTCCCGATACGTGAAGGTGGTGAACTCAAGAAACCGGAGTTGTTTACCATGCAAGCGTTTGTCACTTTATTTCTTGGAAGTAACTCAAAGCACAGTCATCGTCCTTTCCAGCGCGTACTTCGAACCGCACGCTGCTTTTTGGACGAGCACGGAAATGACATGGTGGAAACACACAAAGGTGGCGGGGATTGCGACAGATTCGACATTGAACAGCAAATACTCGAAGCCGAGTACAAAAAGTTTGTTGGCTCCACCGAGTCCACGACGGAGTGTCGCTTCTGTGAACTGGTGGCCACTGCCATCTCTCGCCGCGTGCAGCTCGCTTGTGGTCTCACTACGAGGATGTTTCTCAGTGTTGACGGAGACGAAATCATCATGTCGGTGAAGTCAGAGAACGATGATCTGCGTGTGGAGGCTGATCGCACCAACTACCGACTGCAACTGAGCAACAAGCCGTTCGATGTCATGCTCCACAGAGATAAAATCTCGGATCTGCGGCGTGAAATTGGTGCTGATGCGTGGCAAAAGTCTCTAGTTCTCCTGCGAGACAAACGGGGCACCGTCAACGACTCGGATATACCGGAGCTGGATCCATTTCTTATCTCTCGCGGCGATGAGATCCACCCATTAACTCGTAAAGCTCTTCGTCGCTGGGGACACCGAGAAGAAGCTGACGGCATGTTCTCAGATGACAGCAACCACAGTCAACCCGCGTGGAGTCGCTTCTGGACGTCCATCTTTTCGATACACCACGACCCGATGACGTACTTCGCTCCATTCGCCGATTACCGTTACGAGCCCGAGTTCCAGCCATATTTCCGCCGCTATCCGATAAACTGGGGTGGGACAAGAGAGCAGACATTGTTTACCCAGAAGGACCGCATTCGTCTCGCGTCGGGTATCGTGGATCGACACATTAACTTGGATGCACTGCAGGATGCAGGATATCTGAAGAGTCAAATGTTTGCACTCCACGATGAAGCTGCGCTGGATGAGTTGCGTGCGACGTGGGCTTTGAACATGAAGATGCTGTACCAGCCTCTCCACAAAATCCGGTACTATTTTGGAGAGAAGATCGCGCTCTACTTCGCGTGGCTCGAGTTCTACACGAAGATGTTGCTGTTTCCATCCATCGCAGGGATTATCACGATAATCTACGAAGAAGAACAAGATGATGAAGGGAACAACAATAACCGGGGATACTTCTTGATCGCCTTCGCCATCTTCGTGGTCATTTGGTCGTCGATGTTCTCCGAGTTCTGGAAGCGGAAGAATGGTCTTCTCGGGTCGCTATGGGGGTGCAAAAGGTACAACGAGGTCTTCCATTATCGTCCTCAGTTTCGAGGAACCAAGAGCTACAACCCAGTCACCGATGCAGAGGAGCTAACGTACGAGAGCCGAGCAAAAAGACACCGCTGGTTCGTCGTGTCCATCACTGTCGTGACGTTCATGGTAGGAATTGTCATCATTGCGCTGGTTGGGCTGTTCGTGTTGAAGCATTACATCAACGACAGGGACAATCTTCGGAACGTCGACATCAAGTACCGAACGCCACTGACGCTGGCTGTGACTGTCGGCAACGCTATCCAGATCTTGATTCTAAACATGGTCTACAGACTCGTTGCTCGTAAGCTGAACGACCTGGAAAACCACCGCACAGACGTCGAGTACGAAAACTACCTTGCGATCAAGGTGTTCCTCTTCCAGTTCTGCAACTCGTTCGCTTCTTTCTTCTACATCGCGTTCATCAAGCGGGAAGTGGAAGATTCTTGTCTGTATAGTGACGACTGCATGAAAGAGCTGCGTGATCAGCTGTTGGTTTTGTTCCTCGTTCGCATCGTGGTAGGTAATACAACAGAAGTAGCGATCCCGTACCTCAAGTATCGCTACCAGCTTTACGCTGAGGTCAAGACACAGGAACAGGACAAGAAGAAAGCTGGACATAACTTGATCGAAGCTCAAGCGAAGCTCGCACCGTACGAGAGCAACGAAGCCTTCGAGGACTATAATGAACTGGCGATTCAGTTCGGCTTCCACAACTTGTTCGTCGTGGCCTTCCCACTCACACCTCTGCTAGCACTGGTGAACAACATCGTGGAAGTGCATGTGGACGCATCGAAGCTCTGCTTTGGCTGTCGTCGTCCGTTCCCCGAGCCAGCCAAGAGCATCGGCGTGTGGTTTTACATCTTTCGCTTCATGACGTACATAACCGTCGGGACGAACGCGGCGCTTATCTTGTGGACGTCAGACCTCTTCGAGAACTACAGCGGAACAGTGAAGGCTTTCAGCTTCGTCGTTGTTTGGCAAGTCGGCTTGGCGATCTCGCTCTTCATCGAGCGGACGGTGCCTGACATGCCCAACCACCTCGGCATGCTGCTGGAACGCTATGACCACATTGTAAACGTCGTGATCAAGAATCTTTCAGAGGGGGATGTATCGCACCTCAAAGAGGTGTCGGAGAACTTGGATCTGACGATCTACCCCAACGATCAGTGGGAGGACAAAAGTGGAGACGTAAAACAAACAGTACTCGAGATGCGCAGCCAAGAGAATGAGGTGCGCGCGGCTAGATACCCTCATCACGACCTGGAGACAGTAAACGAATCCATGCCAAACATCGACAACGAATCCACCGTGTAGATTCATAGCTTAACGGCATCGCCTTGCATAGAGATTTTCATAGTCGATCTTCGTTTGAGACTTTTCCAGGCGTTCATTAACCACAAAGGAGGCTTCGTGGACTGAAGCGTTGTTCGTTAGTACTTTGGCCAGGAACGATAATTCTGAGCGTGTAGTATTGCTTCCAGAGAAAAGTCAGTGATCGACTGTGAGAACGGAATCTTGCACCAGTTGATCAACATAAACTCTGAGTCCTCCGATCTGGGCGTTGAGCTAGTAGCCGCAGCCGCCAAAGCTCCGCAAAAATATCGGAGCACCCGACAATCCACTCCAGCAATTATTCCTTCTCGCCATCCTTCCGAAAATGAACAAGAGTCGGAAAGACGATCGATCTCATCGCTCACACGTTTCTCCAATAAATATGCATTGCGTAAAGCACGATGTTGAACTTCGATTTTCTCAATCTCTTCATTTGAGAAACGTTTCTCCAGGCGGATCCTTTGTTGCTGCATAATCCCAACAAAATCTTGGTGTCTCATTTTGCACAGCGTATTCGGAAGGAATGTTGGCACTTGATAGATCGTCCGGTTCCATTCAGTGGAATCGTTGTTATTTTCAGCGATGATCTGACTGAGTTTTGACAGCACAGTAAGTACAAATATGCTTGTGACATTCACCAAGGCCTCGTAAGTATCCGGCTGCAAGGAATCAACTGCGCTGTTGGCGAAGTTTCCTTGAGACTTGAGGAACGTAGTAGTCGTCACAGGATTCAGCGAGAACGAGCCGATCACGATATCCTCACAAGACATCGAAAGAAACTCCGAGGGGATGAACGGACCCGCCGCGCCAGTCATCATGGAGAGATGATTCATCAGATCGATAAGATGTTGACGATCGTGCGGAAGTCCTTTGCCACTGCTCAACTGTTGTAGGATACTATTCACTCGGCCAGTCACGTTGGTAAGCACGAGTGCAAGTATCCACCACTCTGGCGGTGGGAAGCCAACGTATTGAGACTGCTGCGAGCACTCGATTACATACGCCTGATTTGTCACGAGCCATTGAAGAACTTTTACAGTGGATTCCCACGATCCTTCAACCAATTTGGGGCAATTTAATGCCCTCAGGCTCCGTAAATGGCTGACCAGAGCGATCATGGTATTAGTAAACTCTGCAGTCAAGATGAGTCTACAAGCCTCGCGCATCAGTTGACTGAGTTTACTTGAAAGGCTGTAGTCACAATAGATAGATTCTTCGCATTCTGCAGCCAATCGGTTCATAATTCTCTCCATACACCCACACCGATCATTTAGCAAACTAACTCCAATCAGCTTCGTTCTCCACTGCGGTGCAATGACGTTAAGATATCTCACCACTAGGTCTACACTCTCGTCTGTCATCATTTCATCCAGCACCACAATTCCGATCAAGTGTACACTATGAATTTCCCCGCCGTGTTCAAATCGCACTCGAACATCAATAAAAGAGGAGCCAGCACAGTTGCAAAGTTCCAGCACCACCGCAAACGCCCACACCTCTTTACCTTTTAGAATACCTCTCAACCTCTGCAAATTCACTGCACACGCAACTCGACAAAGATTCATCACTCGTCTCTCTGTACATTGTCCGTTCTCCGTAGCCGAGATCCCTTCCATCACGCCTTGATACAACCCCGCAGCTTGTTTAAACGACACGCCACCCGCCACATACTTAACGCAAATGTTCATTTCTAGCCCAGAGTCCACTATGACAGCATATCTCGCTTCATTCTCGTCCAGATTCTCGTCGTCCACCTCAATCCACTCAATCTCCTGCATCTCAAAACCGTTAAACTCAACGTCATCCCCCTCTATACCCCGTAGTAGCTCATCCACAATGTCTTTATCCACCAGGAACGTCCTCGACCGCTTCATCGTTTCCACTACCGCTGTATTGCGCTCTGACACCTGCTGGTCACCGATCTCGACTGAGGTTTCCACTGTATCGACTCGTGGCCGTGTGGAGATGGCTAAATTGGTTGGAAAGAAGCGGCGCTTATCTTCGTCACTCAGATCCTTGTACTGTCCCCAGCGCAGCGCGTGCTGTTGCTCCAGATGCCGCCGCATATTGTCAGGACGCCAAGGAGGCGAAAAGCACTGTACTTTTGTCTTACGCTTCCGGCGCTTGGCACCCTCTGTCTCGTCGCGTTCGAAGGCGCGGCACATGAGACACACAGCTTTGGTAGGCACACCAGTCTCTGGCTCGCGCTCTGCTACTGCCACCGCATATTGGAGCGCCCAGAGCGGCCGGAACTTGCGCGCGGGCTTGTCTAGTTGCATGTACAGTACTGTAGTACTATTTTGATTGTGTAGAGCTGGTGTGGCTGGTGTAGCATTGGTGTAATGTTGAAGTGGATCCACAATGACAAGCAGCGAGTGCAAGGCGTGGTTTGTCTAAGTAAGCAGTTGTATTAGAAACGGATACAAGCACAAGAGAGGAGAAAACAAGCTCCTCCTCTCTGAGTCTCCACCACACGGCGCAATCAGGAAGGTAGAAGAACCTATGTCTATGCTTAACGGGAGTGCGTGTTGCCCTGGCCACGCTTGCCCGAGTTCTGCCACTTCGCCAGCTTCGGTACCGATATCCGGTCGGCTTCGCCAGCGCGACCCATCTTGGCAGCCTTGCGCTGCGTGAACCGAGTAGCGCGCTTGGCAGCGGCCATGGCAGCCTCGTCGCCGAAACCAGCCTGATCGCGCGGGGTGACCAGAGATTGTGAGCGGTTCTTCGACTTGGAGCGCATTGCAGACTTGGCACGAGCACGCACACGGAGGTCGGAGCTCTCGGTCGCATCCTCCATGTCCACGTCCATGTCCTCGCGTTCGCGCTTGCGTCCACGGCTTTCGTCACCAGCCTTCCTCTTGGCCACCACAGCCTCGGCATGCTTCATGTGACTGGTATCCACGCCAAGAGCCTCCAGCTCCTTCTTGGTCTCCGTGAGAGTGCGAAGCTTAGCACGAACCTTGCGAGACACAGTGGTGTGGTTCTTGTTCTTGTTCTGACGGTGCTCAGCTACAATAATGGCCTTCTTCTCCCGGATACGAGCCAGCTTGTCCTTCTGCTCATCGTCCAGATCGCTCATATCCTCGTCGTCATCCATAGGAACATTGTTCTCCATAGCTTCATCCTCCTCCTGTTCCAGAGCCTCCAGACGCTTAAGAATATCCGGATCCACAAAATCGGCAATGTTCTTGCCGTTCCAGATCTCCGGGATGGCGTCCTGAGTCCAGTCGTCGTTGCGAAGCATACCCTTGTAGTGCTCCTTGAAGTTGTACGAGTACACGCCAGCACCCCCGTTGGCGTTCATCTTGTCCTTAAGCAGCACACGCGGCGCCACACTGTTCGGGTTCTCACGAGCAGCAATGACACTGGCGGGAATGGAGATCTCGCGCTTCACGTCATCACGAGCCACAGGCATAGCAACACTGAGACGGTTCAGTACATCGGCCACCTTGTTGCCCTTCACCTTGGAGTTCACACGGTGAGCAAGCAGCTCATCGCAAGCGTAGTTCTTGACTTCCATGACGTTCTCCTCCGAGTGGTTCGACATGGTGAAGAACTTGGCCTTGGTCTCCTCCACGGCTGTGTTAATCATGTTCTGGTGGTGATCTGACAGGGCCTCGAAGCGCATCTGATCGATCTTGTTGCACACGAGCACCAATGGCTTGTTGGCGAACAGCGGACGGATGTTCTCGAACAGACTCAGCTGCTGCTCGATGGTGAAGCCGCACTGCTCGGAGATGTCCATAAAGAACAGAATGGACGCCTGCAAGTGAGCCAGCGCCGTGACAGCCTGCATTTCAATGGTGTTACGGTCCTCAAGAGCGTGGTCGAGGATACCAGGGGTATCGATCACCTGCCAACGCAGATACTTGTAGTCCAAGTGACCCACGTACAGAGCCTTGGTTGTGAAAGCGTAGGGCTGCACATCCACGTCGGCGCGCGTCACCTTGTTCATAAAGCTCGACTTACCCACATTAGGGAAACCTGTGACCAGCAGTGTGCGGGTATTGGGGTCAATAGAGGGAAGGCGCGACAAGTGCTTGCGCACCTCCTCTAGGTACTCAAGCGAAGCCTTCTGCTTCTTAAGTAGCGTACACATACGACCAAGAGCAGCACGCTTAAGCTGCTTGCAGCGGTAGAGGGAGTCACCGTACTTGATCATACGCACATAGTCCTTAGCAATGTTGTCGATAAGGGCACGAGCCGTGTTAACCTGGCCCAATGCGAGCTTGTAGTGGTCACGGTCGTACAGGATGTTGATGAGATCGGCGTAGAACGGGTGCAAGTCATCGAGGCGCGGAAAGTCGTCAATGATCTGGCTGAGTTTTTCCTGGCAAGTCTGCTGCGTGAATTTGACCTTGCGCATGTAGAAAGCGCGAATGCGCGAGATAGCGTACGTCGGGTGAATCACCGTCGGCGTCTTGCGCTGCGTGCGCGTCAGCACGATGTCGATGAAGTCATTGGCCGTCGGCACCGTCTGGATCTTCTTAAAGTTGTACACCACCATCCTGACGAGCGTAGGCTGCTACAGTTCTTCACGAGCTTCCGGTCAATCAACGACTGGCAGCAGCCTTTCACACAACAGCGTTTTGGTTGGCGCAGGACAAGTGTACCTCGTATATGGTACACCTGATAACTTGTGTTCATCACACTAAAATTATGATGGCTACAGTATGTGCACCACGCAACCCTAAAATCAGTTTGCAACTTTCGAGTGGGATACGATAGTCGTTTTCGTAGTTTCTTATTACCCATACAAACTTCCAGTAAAACTGCGCCTGCCGTCTGCTCGTGGCACCTCCGCATTACACGCAAGCAAGCCCCGAAGGAAGGAGGCGAGCTGTGATCAGTCCGCTCCGGCCCTACAGCAACTCAACGTCCGACCATGTGGACCGTTCTCTTCGGTGACAACGAGGACGATGCGGGCTCTGCGCAGCCCACGCGCGGTCCCGTCAAGACGCCTGCATCCCCGCAGCACTCGACGCCGCCCGTGACGCCGTCGCCCCTTGAGCCTCTAACTCCGTCCACGCCTCCACCTCAGCCTCAGCCGCAGCCTCAGCCCCGACGCACTAACCCCGTGCCTGAGAAAACGGGTGGGGAGGGCGATGACACGCCCATGACCATGCTACTTAAGCGACTGAATAACCTTATGGTTAAGGTGGGCGAGCACGAGTTCGAGAAGAGGACGCTGGTTGATCAGGTACGATTACGAGTAAATGTAGATAATTAACTACGTTTTAAGCTAATCTTCGTCTGCAGATGGAGAAGGAGCGAAAGCTGCTGACGAACAAGATCTCGGACCTGGAGAAGCAGATGGAGGACCTCAAGGACCAGAACGTGCAGCTCCAGTACAAGATCGAGTACAACTCCGAGCCCATGCTCATGGAGCGTGTACAGGACGTCACTGACATGCGGTACGTGGGAGGTTAGATTGATTTGGGGCTTTATGGAGTGTTTTATTTACTTTTATTGTTGTTTTATAGTGATGCGCTGGCTGCTGTGAAGAAGCAGTTGGAGGCGGAACTTCAGGAGAAGGAGACGGAGTTGAGGGAGATGAAGGCAGCGATGACCGCTAAGGACAAGGAGCTGAGTAGTCTCCGTGAGGAGTACGAGAAGCAGATTGAGGACTTGACGGCAGAGCGCGAAGCAGCGAAACAAGAGGCTGCTGACGCCGTGCGAGTGGCGAGTGAGGCTGCTAGTGAAAAGTACGAGGAGCAGTTGAAGGAGAAGGACGGCGCTTTGAAGTCCATCCAGGAGGAGAAGGAGACGCTCGAGACGTCCTTGGCTGAGAAGGAGAAGGCTCTGCTTGAAGCTGAAGCAACCACTGCTGAGATGCAGAGGAGTCTGGAGCAGGTACAGAGTCAAGGTGAGACGGACGCAAATATTGTGGAGGAATTGCGACAGCAATTGGAGCAGAGCACCCAAGACTATGAGCAGAAGCTGCAGCAACTGAAGGATGAAGGCCAACAGAAGTTGGAAGCTCTGGAGAAGCACGCACAGGAGCAGGAGGATATTGCTACGGAAAAAGTGCAGGAACTGGAGGACTACAAGCACGACTGTGTCGAGCTGTGGAAGATTAATGAGGACCTGAAGCAGCAGATCGCACTCACGTCGGCGGAGACGATGATCAAGCATGCAGAGCTGCGAGAAAACGCGCTCTCAGGTCAGACTGTGCTTCAGGACAAGGTGGCTGAGCTGGAAAATCAACTTGAGGAGCTGCAGGAACAGCTGAACCGGAAGAATCAGGAGATTGCGGAGCTGCAGGCCGAAGCTGAAAGCCGCACAATGGTCGATGGTGAGGCCTCGGGTGAAGACGACGACAAGTTTGTGGTGGTTGGTGGCGATGGTGGAGCTATCAGTATCCTCACGGAGCAAGTTGCAACTGCTCAACGCGAGCTGACTGAGGCGATGGAGCTGAACTTGCACTTGAACAATCGCAATGCGTGGCTAGAGGAGCAGTACCAGATGCTGTCGTCTGTGCAGTCTGAAGGTGACGATGAGCAGGAGGAGAGCGGGGTTGCTAAGCCCCCGCCGGAAGAGCGCATCGCAGCGCTGGAACAAGAGCTCCAGGAGGCTCGTCGTGCTGAGAATGAGAAGGCGGAGCATGTGTCGAATCTGGAGCAGAACTACAGCGCTCTCTCGACTGAGTTTGACCGTCTCCACTCTGCCCACAACGAGCTGTTGGAAGTGAAGCAAACGGACGATGCCGCACTGAACACTCTGAAGCTAGAACTTGAGTCGCTTCGCCTTTCTCAGACTGATGCGTCGGACAAAGACCAAGCACTGTACGCCAAGGATCAGGAGCTGGCGGAGCTTCGTTCGAGTAATTCGACGCTGGCTGGCGATGTCGAACGCTTGGGTGGTGTGGAAAACCAGTTGCAGCAAACGCATGACGCGCTGGTTAAGGCGCAGAATGACCTTGCTGAAGCTCAAGCTGTCAACGCGAATCTGGAACAGGAACTGAACGAGTTGAGGAGTATCTCTGCTGCTGCGTCGAAGAATGATGAACACCTAGCTGCGACTCAGCACGAGCTGAACCAGGTTCGAGCGGAGAAGGACGCCGTTGTTGTACAACTGACCCAGTCGCAGGCTTCCGTCCACGAGCTTCAGCTGAAAATCCAGGAGCTTGAAGGTATCGTAAACAGCCTGATGAATGACAAGAAGTCTCTGGAGCAGCAGCTTCAGAACTTGCAGGAGATGGCTCAGGAGAACATGGAAGGTTCGTACGAACTCCAAACTAACCTCGAGTCCACCATGGAGGAGTTGGAAAAGACTCAGGCTCAGTTGCGAGCGGAACAAGAGAAGAGTGTGGCACTGCAGCAGTCTGTGGAGGATGTAAAGCAGTCTTCCGCCTCCCGCGAGGAGCTAGAGCGTGCTCAGAGTGAAATCGCACGCTTGGAGCAGCAGGTTCGCCACTTCCACGGTCTGGAGCAGTCGCTAAACCAGCAGTTGCAGGAGGCGGTACGCTCTAAGGATGCAATCGCTGCGGAATTGCAAGCTGCTCGCTCGGAGCGCGTCGCTGCTGAGGAAGAACACAAGAGACTGAAGGTGTCGTATGAGCAGGCAACAGCGCAGCTTTCTTCTGCTCAGACTTCGACCAGCGAGCTCCAATGCACGAATGACGATCTGTCTCACTCGCTAGAACAGACTCGTGCTAAGGCAATGCAAGCCGAGCAGCAGATGAATGCTATGCGTGTGGAGCACAGTGAGATGCAGAAGCAGGTGGAGACGCTGACGAAGAAGAACCTTTCGCTGGTGTCGGAGATTCAAGGCATGCGTGACGAAGCTGACAAGCAGCAGCAGGCGGCACGTGGTCAGCTCGAGCAGTTCAAGGCGGCGCATGCGGACGTTCAACGTCAGCTGGCCGAGACTACTCAGACTCTCCAGGGTAAGGAAGCCGAGGTTGCTGCAGCAGCACAGCACAGCCAAGCTAAGGTGACGCAGTTGGAGGATCTCGTCAATCGCTACAAGGCAGACAAACAGGCTTCGGATCAGCAATTGGCCCAGCTGAATTCAGAGTGCGAACGTCTTCGCCAGGTCCAGCATGAAGCCAAGACAACAATGGAGCGTTCTCAGCACGAACTGGAGCAGATCCGCCTGCAGCTGAACTCTATTCAACAGGAGAAGAACTCTCTTGAAGCGGAAATTGGCCAGCTACGTGGCTTGAGCGACGAGAAGGCTCATCTGCTTCAGGAGGCAGAAGAGCAGAAGCTTGTGAACCAGCGACTGGAGGAAACCAACCGTGAGCTGGAAGGCTTACTGCAGAAATCCAAGGCGTACTGCGAGGAGTTGTCGCGTGACAGTGAGGACAAGGTCAGTCGTGTGCAGGAGTTCGCCCGGCACGTGGAGCAGGAAGCACGCGACGAGATCGACCGCATCGCTCATGAGAACGGCGTGTTGAGGGACGAGCTGGAGCAGCTGGCGCAGGCTCGCTTTGAGGAGACGAACGCGCACGACGAGCTCCGTGTGAAGCTTGCTGAGTTGCAGGCCGAGAACAACGTGCTGTCGGCGCGTGCGCATCGCCTGACGCAGCAGCTGTCGCAGTACACGGATCTCCCGGAAGACGACGAGTTGGCTGCTGCGGGGCAGGGCCAGACGCCCGATCTGTGGGAGCTACTGTCTTCGGGTATGGAGCAGCTCAAGGCTGACCTGGAGCTCGCCAGCAAGTACGCGGCCAGTATCGACGCCAGTAGCGTAGACGGCGGCATTGGGGACGAATCATTCACGGTCGCAAACTAGTGTATACTTGGGAGGGCAAATGTGAATGCCATGTTTTTGGTGATAAAGGTGCAGACAGCGGTGTCTAGAACGAGGACTCGAGTGGAAAATTTGTCTGCAAGGCCTCGACCTCCGCGTCTAGTTTACATATAAAATATACTTCCGTGTCCGGTACTAATCCAGTGTGGCGGTGTATTTCTGCCGTTGTCCGTGTTCTTATCTTGGCCAATTTTACTCTGATCTTGTGAACATGGGCCAAAATTACCTGGTCTCCACTTTTCGTCAGTTTGCTAGAGCGCTGACATCGCTTCAATCAACATGGCGGATATTGCTACGGAGATCCCGAAAAGTCGACTTCTAGAAGCCAAGCAGGTGTGCACAACAATTATCTACTGCTAGGCAATCAATGGTACTGATCCCTCATTTGTTGGTGTCTTTAGAGACGACAAGAAGCGTCGAAGGATGCCTTGATGTTGAAAAACCGCATCGCTCTGCTCAAGGCTGAGGAAGAAAAGGCCTGGAAAAAGATCGAGCAGACCCGACGTCGTGCTGCTGAGCTTCTCAAAGTCCGAGAAGACAACGCCCAAGCGCAAGCCATGCTGAAAGAACTTGCCTTGGAGATTGAGCGCGAGACGCAAGCTTCTATCCAGGCCAAACGTGAGCTCGTGCTAAGCATAGACAGCATTCCAAAGAAGAAAGAGATCAGCATGCAACTTACCGAGGCCAACAGACGAGAAGCGCTTCAGCTTAAAGAAGACAAACAGCGTTGGAAGGAGATCATGGAGCAACAGAAGCGAGACGAAATGATGGACGTCATCCGCCGCAAAGAAGAGATCACCAGTCAGAAGGAAGCGCTGCGCGTCAAGAAGATCATGCACAAGCAAGATATTGACAAACACAACCGGGAACGAACCTTGGAGAAGCTTCGTGCTGAGGAAGAGCAAGCGCAGCGGCACGAGGCGGAGGTTCAGGAGATGGAACGTCAGGAACTTGAACTCATCCAGCGACTACGCAACACGCAGCACTTGCAGAAGCAGGCATTTGAAGAGCTAGAAGCAGCCCTCAGTGGTGGACATGGTGCGAGTGCCAAGCTTTCTTAAACTTACTGGTTCACTTTGTCCTCACTCCATGTAAGACGCGATCGCATGTCGTTCGCGTCAATTATAAGAGCTTGCTTGCTTGACAAACCTTCGTCACCATCACTATCGTCTGTGCGTTTTTCTAGAATAGCAGGTTCGTCTGGCAGCTGACGGATCGCCGCCAGAACTTCACTCATCAGCTTCTCGATTTGCGCTTGATTGCTAGGATCCATTAAGCCTCGGTTCGAGGGTATTGCAGCTTCGTCATCTAGGAGCTCGATCTTAAGCAGGTGCAGCAATGATCGGATCATCGACTCTAGCTTCTGCTCACTGTCATCGGTGCAGCTCTTAGTTGTGGATACTGACGCAGCTAGAGTGATTCTGCACTGTGAAAGCAGCATAGAACTCCACAGTACTAGTGTATCGAGATGCTCTTCTGCAAGCTCGCCACACTGTGGCAACTCATTCGGTGATGCAAAGCCGCACGGATACAGCAGTGTCATCACATTCACTTGAAGGTCACTAACGCTTTGATGAGAAGTAGTTCCTTCTGTGTTGGTTTCGTCAGTCTCCTTTGACATCTCGTCTTCTGTCAGAAGCTGGAAAACCTCGCGCATATGCTCAAGAGCACCAATAAAACTTGTACTCATCGCGTCGATCACAAAGCGCAGTATCTTCTGAGCCATCACCAGCGACAACGCAATGGTATTATCAGTCCCTTGCTGAGAAGACGCTGTGTTGATGTCGCTAAAGCAGTTTGCTTCGACTAACAAATCTTGCGCTTCTTGAATACGAGCTTCCCCGTCGCCATCGAACCAGTAGCCACATCTCCGACATGCACTCAGTACTTTAAACCAGAACTTGTTGGTACGAGTCACCATCCACCGCTTCAGGTTCTCTTCTTGAATGTTGCCAAGGACATTACTGCAAACCACCCTGGAGTACAAGCGAAAAATATTCTCATCGCCTTCACGTATTCTGGTCAAGAACTGGAAAAACTCGCGAGCGCTTGCGGGTGCGTCTGACAGCAAGTTGTCGACTTGGTTAGTCACGCCTTCATCCTTGACAGCGTCAGGCTTGCATTGCCTCAACTGATGTTCATCCAGATTCTTTAGAATACAGAGAAGGCACCACGTCAAGCGATGAGATGCTGATGAGGTTCCAGCCAGTCGAGATCGAAGCAGTTGTCCCGCGGTTTCGGCAACAGCGAAATGAGACTTCGCGATAGCATTTCCTGCGATTGAGAGGAAAAAGCTCGCGGGGAACGCGAGTTCTTCGCTATCAGTCTTTTGATCCGTTTCCGCAGCCTCAGCTTGGCTTTGAACCGAAGCCAACAGCACGTCCAGTGCAGCTTTGATATACGAAATGTCACCAGTGTTCACAAGCAAGTGAATTGCTCGGGTCTTCGCCTTAACTGAATCAATGTTGAGAAGTACTAGGGCAGCCTCTCCATGGCGACCGCGCTTGGTAAGGAAGTCACTGTATTTCCACAATGTATCGTGAAGCAGTGGATCATTAGGCCCCAATCTCGATCGAATGAGCGCAAGGGCTTCTTTGTAAGCCTCACCACTCACTAGACAAGCAACGGCAGCTCGAATCTTTCCAATACTGACAAAATGAAAAGCTGCGCACAGCCATTAACAAAACGGCAGCACTGGTTAAGCATGAGTTAATATCAGTGTGAAATGAGATTAACGAACCTGCTTCCTTCTTGTCGCCTTGGGCGTCGAGCTGGTGCGCGTACAAGTTTGTCATCTCTCGCCATACATCCATGCCCCCCATCGGAGCGTGCGAAAGCCACGTTGGTGTCAAGGCCCCTTCCTTGGCAACGACCCGTAGCGCTTCAATGATATTACCTTGAATCAATAATGTGTTGGCAAGACTTTCCCATTCTCGTTCATCACGGAAGCGTTTGGATTCAGAAGTGAAGAAATCCCTAAGTGACGTTCGATCAATATGGGCTAGAAGGCAGTCAACCGGGTTCTTTTCCGCTTCATGCCCCACTCCAGCTACCTTGTAACACACCGAAGCAATTTCGACTGGGTTGAGCTTCTTCTCGGTATGGAAAACCATCATGTTCTTGTTCTTCTGTTTGCTGTTAGTCACTTTGGATTCATATGCTTCATGCAAGACAGCTATGTTAGCCTCTTGTCCGTTTTGCACTGCCACAGGCTCGATAGGAGGCAACGTCGCAACGGTATCAACTTGCTGAGGTTGCTTCACCTTCCCGTATTTCTTGTGTTTGGGCGATGCGTCTTTCTTCTGTTCTCTGTAATCCCAGAGACGCAACGTTTGGTCCTCACCTCCTGTAACGAGTGTGTAAGGCGACACCCAGTCAAGCGATAAGACCCGACCAATATGATGATTGAAGTGCGCTTCCCTCTGCAACGACGTTGTATTCCAAACCTGGACAGATCCGTCAGCAGAGGTAGAAGCGAGACGATTTTGGGCTAGATCAGGGCACCACCTCAAGGCTGTAATCTTGTTGGAGTGACCATCAAAGCTGCCAACAAGACGGTTTTCTTGTGCGACGCCCGATCCGCTACTCCAAAGTGATACGTTTGAGCTCATTTTCCCACAGTTGTAAACGAAAAGCTTCCCTTCTTGACCTCCGGACGCCAGCAAGTTAGCATTTGTACCATTACTCCACCCTACACAGGTTACTGACTCCAAGTGTTCGTGAAAGCGGTGTACGACTGAGTTATCTCCTGTGCTTCCACATATTTCCATCACTTCCACCGCACCGTTAGAGCGGCCGATGGCGACCACGTCACATTGCTCGTCCCACTCAAATGCGACACAATTGTCGATAATTTCGCGAGATTTCTGGTCGACTGCATCAGAATTTGATTCGATAAGATGGCCAGTTGCATCGCTGCTCCACAGCACCACCTTCACTTCATCCCCAGTGTCCTTCCTATCTCTCTGGCCTCCCTGAGCAATTAACGCTTCCTCCAGACTCTGGCCGTCTGCCTGTGCAGCCTCTAGTTGTTTTATACTCTCGAGAAAAGAGTTATCCTCATCATCTAACCCGTCCGACTTCCTCGCTTTAACAACTATCCATTGGAGTTGCTGGACCTCACTGCTGTGGCTAGTACGAAAATGGGTATACTTTTTCGTTTGTATGTTGTAAACTCCAATGCGGCCATCTTCCATACCGTACGCCAATACAGAGTGCTGGAATGGGTGCCATCGGACGCAGGTAACCTTACTCTGCAGGCCCTTCCACAGCAGATCACATTGGTAGTCACTTGCAGATGTCGCCTCAATAGCCAAATTCCATAGCCGAATTGTCTGATCCCCTACTCCAGCAGCTACAAGGCCAGTCTCAGTATTGTACGAAACACTGTAAGCATGGCCACCAAACCCAACCAGCGTCTCCAGGCACGTTGCGGCTGCTAAATTTTTCGAAGAGCCATTATCCTTCCAAAGTCGTAGTTCTCTGTCCAACGATACCGTAAGCATGGACACCACATCGCCCTCGGTCGCTAACGTTGGAGACACCATTGTTATGCTGAAGAGCATACGATTATGGCCGCCTTTTACGACCGCAGGTTTGCACGAAACACGACGATTCTTGTCTCTCGGAGCCTCCGTCTTGACAGCATCCCACTCCCACCGAAACAAACTGCCATCAAACGACCCTGACCAAAGGCAGTGCTTTCTAGAGACCTTGTCTTTGAGGCTCCATGCCACAGGTAACCACAGTTGCTTCGTTTGAGTAAACGACATTCCTTGTTTTCCCGTTGGAAGTCGCAGCAATTGGTCCAAAGCTGGTGCTTCACTCGAAGTGATCTTCCACACCTTAATCGTTTTATCTCGAGAAGATGAGGCCAACCACACTTCTCGATGTGACGTTCCATCTCTCCCATCTTGACCATCGATAGTGTTGACTATTGCCTTCCACGCGACGCATTGAACTTCCTGGTCATGACCATCTAGGCGGTGCCGCACAGTTCCTCGAGCTGCATCCACAAGGCACAAGACCCCACTGCGGTATCCTACGGCCACCAACGCTTTGTCGTGCGGAGAAATTGCCATCGAATGGATCCCGTCACCTGAGATCGGCACAAAGACGGACACTTTTCCTCTAAAGTCACAACAAAAGCACAATACCGTTAGCTAAACTACACCGGTCAGTAAGAACCGCGTCTCACATACGCGTCGCGTTCCCATGTGCTGATGCTTCCTTGTCGATCGCCTGCTACGACAAAATTCGCATCCAACGCAGCAGACACCGTCACAGCCATCACCTCCGCCTTGTGCTTCTTGTGCTGCTCAATCATCGTCAACGACGCGACATCCCTGTAATAAATCACTTGAAAACTCATTACCAACACTCACTCTCCTCATCGCCAATGCAGAATCTCACCAGATCTGCACGCTGCCTTCCTCTCCGCCGCATACGAGCCGCAGTTCACCTGTCGTGTCCGTGAAAAATTGTACCGCAGTCACACGGCGATCACGTTTGCTGCGCACCAATTGTGCAACGAATGCGACCTTCACTCCTGCATCTCCATCGTTCATCGCCTGCAAGTGACATACCTGATCAGAAAGCTCTGAATTGCTTCATTGGACTGCTAAACTTCAGCAAACCTGGTAGATAAATACGCTGTTCTTGGCCCCAAAGGCGAACAGCAGTCCAAGGACGTCGCTCCGTCCCCAGTCACAAATCTACAGGCAACAACAAAACACTCAGATTGACACTAAAAAACTAAATGTATCCTTCTTTTAACGCAAATACACCGAAGACAACGTACCTTGGAACAATACCAATTGGCTGACGGTGGCAAAAGACGCAGGTGATCCTTCCCATGCCAAGAACCCGTTGATCCGTGCGCTACATCCCCCGCAGCAGCGTCAACCTTCGTGGCTGCACTCGCGACCATCACTCCCAAATTCAAAGTGGCAGGCGCGCGGAAAAATTAATTTATATTATCCACCAATCAGCATCGACGTAACAAGTATTGTAGCTGCTCGCATCATGAGAAGCGGCGGTCGGTCCGCCTGCTACAGAACAGTAAGGCCGCTCGCTGCACGATCGGGACACGACGTCGCGGGACGCGGTACTCGAAGAGAACGCCAGTTGAAGCTGCGCTAGTTGGAGAAACTACGTGGAAAAACGTCGCAGGTCTGAGCGCTGGCTGGAGCAGCTTCGGGTCGCTTCTTGTCCGTCACATTTGGAAGTTTCGCGACCTGCACAAGCGAATTTGACCCGGTTAGGATGAGTCCCGCCATTTGCGCGGCGGGCGGTATGAGTGCGGCGTTAAGCTCATCGCCGTCTTCGAGCTGGAACTTGGGCGTGCAGCGCCGGGATCGCAAACTGTGGACGGCCACTGCCGAAAGACTGGAGGCCGACGTGGCCGTGCTGCAGCTCACGCTCGTGGAGCTGGAGGAGATGCTTAGGCAGCTCATGTGTGTTTCGCTGCCCAACCCTCGCATCCGAGGCGACGAGATTGCGGCGTTAATCACGGCGCTGGCACAAATTCTACCATTGAGCTCGGGTCTGCTGTGCTCGGAGTTCACACGTTTCGTGCAGAAGTGCTGTAGCAGGGAGAGAGTGTTGTTCTCATGTGCTCAGCTGAGTGTGGTCATGACGTTCTTCTTGAAGTTCATCAAGTCGTGTCCGAGCTGGTATACGGCCAACTCGATCCGCGCACTGGGCCAAGTGCTGCACGACAATGCCGACCGGGCCAGTAACGAGTTCGAGCTGCTGTTTGCGGTGCTGATGAAGCACTTGGACCCGTCGGGTGTGGACATTGAAGCGCGTTACGCTGCTACGAGCTGCGTGTCGAACATCTGCACGCAGGCTGGGAAGACGCCCGAGGTGTATCACTACTTTTCGTCGTTATTGCGGATGGTGGTGGAGAACTTTCGGCAGCAAGCGCTCAGTTTGACCAAGGGAGAGAACGACCGGATCCTCGTGAAAGCCTGCACTTCGAGCATGAAGTGCATCTTCACCATAATCAACTCGAACTTTGACCGCCTCAATGATCGCATTGTCGCGACTTTGCCCAGTCTGCTCAGCTCCATGCGCCAAGTCGTAGGTTATGGATTGGTACTCAAGTGTGACCAGAATGACGTGAATACGGTCGTATTCTCGTTTCAAGAAGAGATTCATCCTACCGACTCGGATTCGTCAGTTTGTGGTTCGGACGGTAGCACTGGAGGACGCCAGATCGGAGAGTAAGTGATGATAACTGGTGTTGTGAAGGTGTATTTCCATTCCTAATGTTGACTTTGTGGCTTGTATGTAGCGGTTTGTTGGCTCGGCTGCGTATTACCGTCCTGTACACGCTGGAAGCTATTGCGCAGCACTTCCCCAAAGCGATCACGTCGTCTATGGGGCTATATTTACCGGAGCAGACCACGCCGTACATGACGCTGTTTAACAACACTCCATCAGTGCTCACTCTGCTCATCGCAGACCCAAGTGAAAAGGCCAGGATCACTGCTGCGAAGTTTTTGGACGTGTTCTGGGAGAAGATTCCTCTGAAAATGTACTTTCGACGCCCTTCCAATGCCGGTACGACGGCTGCAGTGCCCACGTCGTCGATGCCGTTTGCGTCGATGCCCAAGCGAATGTCTTTGATGCTGTACCAAATGCACGTCACCTTGGTGTACTGTATCCAGCACGAAAAAGAGTCCGCACCACTTTCACAAATACTGAAGGTAAGTGAATCTCTTAACGGTAATGTAAGGTTATTGTTAATGACGATCGATTTACTAGAGCACAGCGTCGGTGATCCAGCACTTCCCGTATGGGAATGTAGCTACGTTGCTTGACCAGATGGAGCTAAAGCCAAGCCTGGGGGATATCTTGAAGGCGCTCGCGTCAAGTTTGTATGTTTCAGCAGCGTCAACAGGTACGATGAATTCTCTGCATTGTAAATGGAAAAAAAAATCGAGGTCTAACTCATTGGCGATGTTGCTGTGTTGTTAGATCATGGTGTGCGGATGGCAAGCTTGTCGTGTATGTCGGCGTTGCTCAATGTTCAGGAAACGCTCCCAGCGATCCTAGACTGGATGATTCACACAAGCGATACTGATGAAGTCATTCGAGTGGCACATGTATCTATTGCATGTGGTACGTGGCTTCTGCGCCGCCGTTCGTTTGTGGAAGAGCTCTTGCTGATGGCATCTCGGCCTGACGATTCGTCACGCACACTGTTACGCTTGGAGGCGATGTCGCTTCTGTCCAAGATTGCCAAGAACTATTCGCCTGCATTAAGTGCTAATTGGCAGAAACTTGCAGAGTTTATGCTGGCGGCTTTCCAGGACATGGATCCAAATGTCCGTCTTCAAGCGGTGAAGATACTGGAAAATTACATCAAGGGAGAGAACAGTACTTCCGAGAGCGTAGCGCCTGGTAGCCCAACCGCACAACAAACCTGTCGCGTGGACTGCTTGGAGTTTATGGCGACGCATTTGGTGAGAGCGTTCTATGACACATCGCACCATGTCCGTGCCAGTGTCTGCGCTTGCTTCACGCTGTTGGCCGCTCAAGACTGGGCCTGGCTTGGTGAAAAGAAGCATCCACGACGACTTCCAGTACTGGCAGCCAAGAGTGGTGGCTACAATGGAGGCGGCCCGAACGTGTCGTGTCTGGACTCCTATACTCGCATCTTCCTGCAAACTCCGAAAGACAGCTCCCCTGTGGTCCGTGCTGCAGGTTTTCGATTGTTGGGATCGCTGTGTCTTGCGCCCACATTCAAGACTCGTGCGTTTGCGAGTAGTGTGGTGACTCTGGCTTTGGATGCTTTGAGTGACTCTACCTTGAATGTCCGTGTTCGAGCTGCGTGGGCGCTAGGCAACGTCTGTACTACCCCTGGACCAGAGTCGATTGGTGTGACTGATGCACCGCCATTACCGCCGCCTGCACCCCCGTCTTCATTTGTTACCAAGAATGAAACCTCAACGTCATATCCACCGCTACCTCCTCAAGTGCTGTATGAGCTCCTGCCAGCGTATCAATTGAAAGTAGTGATCGAGAAGATGCTGGTGTATATCAACGACAATGACAAGGTGGCATCAAGTGTAGCGCGTACGTTGGGGCTCGTGTGTCGTTGGATTAGCTTCCCGCCATTCTGGCGCACTCTCAACACACCGAAGGACCGAGCATTGCTGGACGATCTTCTGGGACAAGCAATGGTTGTGCTGGCTGGGAAGATTAATGCGGGCTCGCCCAAAGTACGATGGAATGCCTGTCACGCCATTGCCAAAGTGTTGCTGTGCCCCAATCTACCTCTTGCGTCTGTGACGTGGGCTCCCTCAGTCTTCCAAGCATTGCTGACTGCTGTCGCGCAACAAGAGAATTTCAAGGTGCGGATCAGTGCCGCTACTGCGTTGCGAGTATCCCAAACGCGTAGTGCGTTCGGTTCTTTCTTCCAGTCGGCGCTTCGAGCTACAGTGGATGCGTTGGAGACGGCGTCGGATCTGAAAGATGTCACCGAATTTCGCTACAAGGAGCAGTTAGAGACACAGTTGTCGTTCACATTGGTGCATCTGATCCACATTGCCACCGAGGAAGACGATCTGATGATATTGGAGGCGTTGAAGGCCAAGCCTCGTGGATTTCTGTACGACTGGCTGCTGCATAATCTCCACCGCATGGTCGCGGCGATCGAGCGAGAGAGTGAAGCTGTCACTGGAGCGAGTACGATTGGAGGTGATTGCACGGATGAAAGCCGTGCGGGAGGAACTGGTGACGCGCACGATGTGAACCCCATTAAGAAAGACGAACTGCTATCGGCAGTGCGCTCGTTACTGCGCATTTTGGAGCGCCTTAACACTGACAAGGCTTACGTGACCAGCTGCGTTTCGCTCCTGCTCGACACAAAGATCGGACTGGAGCACGATGTACTATATTCCAACGAGGATATCCTGTTTGAGCTTTGAGAGGGCTACGCAGGTATCGTCATCGGTAGCAGTAAGTATCACACATAGCGGATGAGAAGAGCGAGCAGCCCTGCAAACCGATGACCACAACAATATTTGAATGGCACGCTAGTTATTATTCGGCCAAATGATTGCACCATCGTATACCTAGCTTGTCTTGGCAATATGCTTTGTACCTAGCGTCGAAAGCGTGCACGTCTGTTCCTCTTGCGACCGCCACGATGGCGGCGTTTGCGCGGCTGGCCTTCCGGTTGCTGGCTCTGGCGCTGTTTCATTTCCTTTACTTGTTCATCTGTGAGCGGTAAGTAGTACAGCACAGGTTTTGTCTCGGTCTTTAGGAAAAACTCGTCGATCGTCACCTCTGCCCCAATAAGATGCTTAGCCACTATACTATAGTGGTGGAACTGCATGAGCACTTACTTTGGCGTTGCGCTGCTTGTGTACCATTGCTGTCCTTATTCTTCAGTCGGCTGAGTAAATTCGCCTCGCCATACTGCGACACCTAGATTACGAAATGTTATGTTAAACAACAGCCACGCCAGAGTCTTCAGCGCTCGTACCTCCATGGCCGTATGATCTG